GGTGGGAAGGGAACAGCGTTCCGTGCGCCTTGGTGTTTAGTCATGCCGGCCACATGACCACGGAAACGTCTTCGGACAGCGCTGGCTCTTCGGCTTGGAAATGGAGATGAGCACCGCAACCCTAGAGTCGGATTCGACTGGCTTTCAAGCAAGGGAAACCTTTACCTTTACCTTGATGCCTTATCTACTAGCTAGTCGGATGGTCTGGGCCTGGCTGGGGCGATGGCATGCGTGCCCGCAGAGAGGGCTCTGAGTGCCACCTCTGGCACCCGTGCCATAGGTTCGCCTACGCTGTTATAGGTAAAAGCGTAATATTCCACACATCCATGTCACACCTACCCCCAAGCGTTTCTGTGGCAACACGGACAGATATATGGTGCCCTATGGCTCAAGTGGTTAAGACGCTGAACTGCAGACCGGAAGGTCGGTTGTTCAGCAGTTCGAGACCCGAGTTGCCGCATGACGGAGTAAGCTCCCGTCTCTAGTTCCAGCTCCTGCCAACCTAGCAGTTCGAAAGCAAGAAATTGCAAGTAGATAAATAGCTACCGCTTTGGTGGGAAGGTCACAGCGTTCCGTGCGCCTCGGCATCTAGTCATGCCAGCCACATGACCACAGAAACGTCTTCAGACAGCGCTGGCTCTTCGGCTTTGAAACGGAGATGAGCACCGCAACCCTAGAGTCGGACTCGACTGGCTTTCGAGCAAGGGAACCTTTACCTTTACCTTTAAGACGCTTGAAACACCTGTAACTTCATTTGCTCTGAACTTTCCTTCTCTCATATTTCCCTCCACCTCTGCAATTTCCACAGTTGTCTATTCCATGTTTCACACTCTTTCAGAGCAGAGATGGGTCTGGTTTTCCAGGAGTGGTCTATAAGGTGCCCCTGAAAGATTAAACTGTGGAGTTCGCTACCGCAGGATGCAGTGATGGCCACAGGCATAGATGGCTTTGTAAGGAAATTAGAAGATTCATAGAGGAGAGGTCTATGAGTGGCTACCAGCCATGGTGATTGAGGGGAACCTCCACATTCAGAGGCACTAAACCTCTGAATCCCAGAGCCAGGAGGCAACTTCAGGGGAAGGCTTTGGCCTCTATGCCCTATCGTTGGACCTCCAGAAGAACTGGCTGTCCACTGTGTGAAACAGGGTTGCTGGACTAGATGGACCTCCACTGGTCAGATCCAGCAGGGCTTTTCTGATGTTCATATGAAAGCCTCGGCCTCTGTGCCAAGTTGTTGGCCATCCAGAGGAACTGGTTGGCTGCTGTGTGAGGCAGGATGCTGGACTGGATGCCCTATTGTTGGACCTCCAGAAAAACTGGTTGTTCATGGTGTGAAACAGTGTGCTGGCCAAGATGGACTGCTGGTCTGATCCAGCAGGGCTCTTTTGATGTCCCTGGTATTTTCGGCCACTGTGTGATAGAGTGTTGGACTGGATGGGCCACTGGCCTGATCCAACATTGGCTTTTCTTATGTTCTTAAGGCCTCGGCCTCTGTGTCCTATTGTTGGCCCTGCACAGGAACTGGTTGGCCGCTGTGTGAGACAGGAGGCTGGACTAGGTGGACCACTGGTCTGATCCAGCAGGGCTCTTCTGTTGTTCTTATGAAGGCCTTGGCCTCTCTGCCCTGTTGTTGGCCCTCCAGAGGAACTGATTGACCACTGTGTGAGACAGGAGGCTGGACCAGGTGGACCCCGGCTCTGATCCAGAAGGACTGCTCATGTTCTGACGAGCTTGAGAAATAAATACTAAATCAAAAGGTCCATGGTATCAGGAGGGAAATACAAAGCATTTGTGAGGCACCTGGATACTTAAGGGGGAACACAGTAATTCCACAGGGATAGATTTTATCCTAGCCCCAGGGCTCATTTCGTAGAAAAAGTGGTGCAGGAGCTCATTAGCATAACTCATTCGCATAACACATTTGCATATGCCACACCCCCTGACATCACCGGAAGTGTGTCAGAAGGCAACAACCACCACTCAGGCTCCACTGGACTGTTTTGGATGGCTAGTTTGGGGGGGGGAATGTGCAGATCTGTCCTCGCAGAGGAGGGAGAGCTTGTACCTGAATAAAACTGGGTCTTAAAGGTGCCACTGGACTGTTTTGGACCGAGGGGGGAGGGCTCTGCAACTTACCTGGCTGCTTCTTGCTCTGACTGAGGGCTGCTGGGAGCAGGGGGCGGGGCTTGTTGCATGTGCCCCGCCCCCTGGGCTCTTTACTGCCGGAGCTCCGCTCCTGTGCGCTCCTGCAGGGAATGACCCCTGCCTAGCCCAAATGTTCACAAGTTCTCCTCCACAAAGCTTATGCTGGAGTCTTCAGAGACTTATTGCTAGTCTTCAGAGCATCACTGGGCTCCTAAGTTTATCCGGGGCCACTGGCTAGAAGATTCGAGCCCCCCCCCCCGCTCTTACCCTCCGAGTGTCTCTTTGGTGTTGACGCTGTAGATCTCCTTGAAGTCCACCGTTCTCAGCTTTACAACACGGTGGGTGAATGGCGCGGGTGGGGGAGGCGTGTCATCTGGAAGAGAAGGGGAGAGGAGTAAGTTTTCGGCTCCCGAGGGGCCTGGTGGTTGTGGCCGCTGTGGGCATCCCAGGAGACGGGATGAGGGCAAGGAAAAGGGCACCCCTCCAAGGCATGTTCAGAGGGTGCCACCTACTGGCAGCGTGGGGGAAGTGGAGCGCAACGGCACCATGAGGAACGGTGCCTTGCTTGTTAACAACATGTTTAATAGGGAGGCCAGGCCCCCAGGTGGGACCTGGGGGTCCCCCGGAATTACAGCTCATTCCCAGACTACAGAGGTCGGTTCCCCTGGAGAAAAAGGGATGCTTTGGAGGGTGGACTCTCTGTGGCACTGTACCTTGCAGGCTCCGGCCCCATGTCTCAAGGATTCCTATAACTAGAGTTGGCAGACCCCAGGCACCTTGCCTGGGGTAGCTGGGTTGGTATCACAGTAGAAAAACTAGATCTGAATCAAAGAACACCGTAGAGACCAGCAACAGTTTCAGAGAAGAAGAGGAGGAGGAGGAGGAGGAGGAGGAAGAGGAAAAAGAGGAAGAAGAGGAGGAGGAAGAAGAAGAGGAGGAGGAGGAGGAAGAAGAGGAGGAGGAGGAAGAAGAAGAGGAGGAGGAAGAAGAAGAAGAAGAAAAAGAGGAGGAAGAGGAAGAAGGAGGAGGAAGAAGAAGAGGAGGAGGAGGAGGAGGAAGAGAAAGAAGAAGAAAAAGAGGAGGAAGAGGAAGAAGGAGGAGGAAGAAGAAGAGGAGGAGGAGGAGGAGGAAGAGAAAGAAGAAGAAGAAGAAGAAGAAGAAGAAGAAGAAGAAGAAGAAGAAGAAGAAGAAGAAGAAGAAGAAGAAGAAGAAGAAGAAGAAGAAGAAGAAGAAGAAGAAACAACAGACACCCTGTTTGGTAGGTGGGGCTGAGAGAGCTCTCTCGAGGACTGCTCCTGAGAGAAAAGCTCTGAAAGAATTTATGACTGACCCAAGGACACACCAGCAGCTGCATGTGGAGGAGGAGTGGGGAATCAAACCCGTTTCCCTCAGATTAGAGTCTGCACTCTTAACCACTACACCAAACAGGAGGAGGAGGAGGAGGAGGAGGAGGAGGAGGAGGAAGAGATTGGATTTATACCCCGCCTTTCACTCAGAGTCTCAGAGCAGCTCACAATCTCCTTTCCCTTCCCCTCCCCACAACAGACACCCTGTGAGGTAGGTGGGGCTGAGGGAGCTCTCTCAAGAACTGCTCCTGAGAGAGCGGCTCTGAGAGAGCTTGTGAGTGACCCATAGTCACACCAGCAGCTGCATGTGGAGGAGGGGTGGGGAATCAAACCCATTTCCCTCAGATTAGAGTCTGCACTCTTAACCACTACACCAAACAGGAGGAGGAGGAGGAAGAGATCGGATTTATACCCTGCCTTTCACTCAGAGTCTCAGAGCAGCTGACAATCTCCTTTTCCCTTCCCCTCCCCACAACAGACACCCTGTGAGGTAGGTAGGGCTGAGGGAGCTCTCTCAAGAACTGCTCCTGAGAGAGCGGCTCTGAGAGAACTTGTGAGTGACCCAGAGTCACACCAGCAGCTGCATGTGGAGGAAGAGTCTGCACTCTTAACCACTACACCAAACAGGAGGAGGAGGAAGAGATCGGATTTATACCCTGCCTTTCACTCAGAGCAGCTGACAATCTCCTTTTCCCTTCCCCTCCCCACAACAGACACCCTGTGAGGTAGGTAGGGCTGAGGGAGCTCTCTCAAGAACTGCTCCTGAGAGAGCGGCTCTGAGAGAACTTGTGACTGACCCAAAGTCACACCAGCAGCCGCATGTGGAGGAGGAGTGGGGAATCAAACCCGGTCCTCCCAGATTACAGTCCGCGCTCCTAACCACGACAACAAACTGGCTCTCCAAATAAATAGGACAGATGGACTCCCATTCTTGCTGCATCTGAAGAGGTGAGCCGTGACTCACAAAAGCGCCTTCCCTGCCGCATATTTTGTTAGCCCTTCAGGTGCTCCTGGACTCTTGCTCTTTTCTAACGCCACGGAGCCACTCCTCAAAGCGGCCATGACCTCCAGGGGAGGTGGTCTTGGTTATGTGGAGATCAATTGTAATAGCAGGAGATCTCCAGGTGCCACCTTGAGACTTGGCAACCCTAGTCTTCATAGTGGCCGCTTCCCTTTTCTTCTCCCCACAGGATGTGAGGGGAGAAGCAGTGGCGCTGAGCAAACTTTCGCACATCGTGTGGAAAGATGCGTTGAGCTTCCAGCCCCACGGCAGGCGGCCAAGAGGTCCCGGGAATCCAGAGACAGCTCGTTTCCAGCGTGGGATTTTTTCCTACACAGAGATAATCTCCATATAATCCTCCTCTACTCGCTGTGGGCGGCCTCACCGCCCCTGTTCCAGGCGCCAGGTGAACGTTTTTTCAAAAATTTAACTGGGGATTTAGTGGGGGGTCTAAAATTGTTCTGCTGACGTCAGCTAGGCTCGAGCTTGTTGACGGACCCCGTCTGACGAGCTGATCAGAGCGCTGGGCTGAGCTAGGTGATCCGGGTTCGAAACCCCCACTCCGCCCGGTTGCCCACGGGGACCGGCCACTCTCTTGTGGCCTAACCTGCCTCACAGGATGGTTGTGAGGATAAAATGGAGACACTGGTATGCTGTATGCTGTCCTGAGCTCACTAGCGGAAGGGTGAGATAGAGAAGAAGAGAAGAAGAAGAAATTGGATTTATACCCCGCCCTTCACTCGGAGTCTCAGAACGGCTTACACCCTCCTTTCCCTTCCCCTCCCCACCACAGACACCCTGGGAGCAATGCTCCCTCTAAGCTGTGGAGTCTTGTGAGCAAAAATTCTTTGTGAGCTACGGGCATGAAAGTTGTGAGCGAGCGATTTGGCTGCTGCATAAATCAGTTGCATCTGGAGCCATGGGCCCCAGGGATTTTGGGGAGGGGGAGCCAGTTTGGTGTAGTGGTTAAGTGCCCGGACTCTAATCTGGGAGAACTGGGTTTGATTCCCCATTCCTCCACTTGCACCTGGCTGGATGACCTTGGGCAAGCCGTAGTTCTGACAAGAGCTGTTCTGGAAAAAAAAGAGCTGTTTCTGTCAGAGTTCTCTCAGCCCCACCTACCTCACAGGGTGTCTGTTGTGGGGAAGGGAAGGGGAAGGAGTTTGTAAGCCGCTCTGAGACACCTTTGGGTAGTGAAGGGGGGGGTAGAAATCCCATCTCCTCCTCTTCTTCTTCTTCTCTATATCGGGCTCTTGTCCAGTAGGGCTTCTGATTGGCCACTGGATATCAGATTGCGCGGTTAAGTGCGCGGACTCTAATCTGGGAGAACCGGGTTTGATCCCCCACTCTTCCACTTGCACCTACTGGATGACCTTGGGCAAGCCACAGTTCTGATAAGCGCTGTTCTCAAAATTAGCAGTTTCTGTCAAGAGCTCTCTCAGCCCCACCCACCTCCCAGGTGTCTGTTGTGGGGAGGGGAAGGGAAAGGAGTTTGTAAGCCACTCTGAGACTCCAAGTGAAGGGCACGGGGTATGAATCCTTCAGTCCATCAAGTTCTTCTACTACACCAAATGGCTCCTTCTCCCTGAGATTCCTGGGCCTCATCCTTAACATAGAGTACAATCCCCACGCCACCTAGAAGCCAGCACAGAAAGCCTAGATTCTTCCAGAAGCACACATAAATACATGGATCTGCCTTATACTGAATCAGACCTTCAGTCCATCAAGTTCAGTCTTAGAATCGTAGAATCCCGGAAGGTGCCCTAGAGGCCATCTAGTCCAGCCCCCTGCTCAAGGCAGGACCAGCCTTGAGCATCCCTGACAAGGGTTTGTCCAGCCGCTGCTTGAAGACTGCCAGTGAGGGGGAGCTCACCACCTCCCCCAGCAGCTGATCCCACTGTGGCACAACTCTTACTACTCAGACTGACAGCGGCTCCAGATCACCGCAGACGGTGACAGCAGCCATGAAATTAAAAGACGCCTGCTCCGTGGGAGGAAAGCGATGGCGAACCTCAACAGCATGCTAAAAAGTAGAGACATCACCCTGCCAACAAAAGTCCGCATGGTCAAAGCAATGGTATTCCCAGTAGTCATGTATGGCTGCGAGAGTTGGACCATAAGGAAGGCCGAGCGCCGAAGAATAGATTCTTCTGAACTATGGTGCTGGAGAAGACTCTTGAGAGTCCCTTGGACTGCAAGGAGATCAAATCAGTCAATCCTAAAAGAAATCAACCCTGACTGTTCCCTGGAAGGCCAGATAATGAAACTGAAGCTCAAATACTTTGGCCACCAAATGAGAAGGGAGCACTCACTGGAGAAGAAGACCCTGATGCTGGGAAAGATTGAAGGTCAAAGAAGACGGGGACGGCAAAGGATGAGATGGTTAGACAGTGTCATAGATGCAACGAACATGAAGTTGAGCCAACTTCAGAGGTTGGCAGAAGACCGGAAGGCCTGGCGTGATCTGGTCCATGGGGTCGCGAAAAGTCGGACCCGACTGTGCGACTGAACAACAACAACTTACTACCTGATCCTTTTAACTGGAGATGTCCGGGATTGAACCTGGGACCTTTCTTCTGCATGCCAAGCTGATGCTCTGCCACTGCACTCTCCAGTCTCAGGTGGAGGTCTTTCCCATCACCTACTGCCTGGTCTTTTCTTACTAGAGATGCCGGGGATGGATCCTGGGAACTTTCCCCATCCAAAGCGGAAGCTCTGCCGCTGAGCCACAGCCCCTCGCCTTACGTATAAAGAGTGACGCTCTCTGCAGAACGCGCTACATATCTCAGGAAGGTGCCCCGGGGATTTTGGCACTTGGCTTGGTGAGGTTGCTTGGCGCCACAGGAGGGCTGGCCCTGGGCAAGGCACGGGCCGTTCTGTTTAAACGTAAATGCGCCACACTCCCAACAACTACAGCAGCTGCGCACAAGGAGACACAGGTAAAACTAGACTGGGGCTGCGGTCACATACACTAAGTCAGGGGCGTCGAACTCATTTGTTAAGAGGGCCAGATCTGACATAAATGAG